TACTAACTTACTTACTTACTTACTTACTTGCTTGCTTGTTTGCTTGCTTGCTTGCTCACTCGATAGCTCGTTCGCTTGCTTGCTTGCTTGCTTGCTCGCTGGCTTACATACTTAATTACTTACTTACTTACTTACTTATTCTCTCCCTACCCCGTCAGATACATAAGGCGAAGTAAAAGGGTCTATATTAGAAAAATAATAAATGAAAAATAAAACAAGTTCTATTTGAGACTTTGAGAGTGCTGATTCGTGAGACATATTTGTGTGTGTGTGTGATTGTGATGTCTGCTGTGTCCAGGTATCTCATACAAAATCTGAGGGGTCAGCCGCCCTGGAGGAGGAGCCACGCCCACCGGAGAGGTCAGGGAGTGACCAAGGGTCAGCTGGAGGGTCAACAGACGGTGCGGGGCAACAGGGAGAACGTAAGGAAGGAGAAGGGCCTGATAGCAACGAAGACATCGGACGGAACGATGGTGGTGGTGGTGGTGGTGGAGGAGGAGGAGGAGGAGGAGGTGGTGGTTCCCCGCCTGGTATTGAAGCAGTGCCACCAAACATCAAACCAATGTTCCATATTGCTCTCGTGATGGGAAACGATGCACCAGTTTACACGCCAGATGTGTACGATTTCACGGCCTCCGCTTTCAACATGATACACGACCTTGAGGAGGTGAGTACCGGTGGTTGGACATGAATTTCTTATCACGCCACACGAACACGCATCATGGGTGAGAATAGCCTGTCACCCTGTGTCTCTCTATTCTCACCTCCCTCAGGTGTGCTAGAGCACAGACACACACAGAACAGCACAGAGAATAACTTGTAAGTTGTACAGAATTAGATAAGTTTCAGGTTTAGTTTATTTAATGGGCTGGGTGAAGGCCATTTCACACCATGAACAGCAAACAACAGTGAAAAAAACCCAAACTACACTTGATATAGATCTATGGTTATAATTATATGCAAGAATGAAATGTTAAGAACTGAACGCATCTGACACCTAGATCTACCTATACTCACAATTTAAGCCTAATTTTAAGAAGGCTATTTGTTTTTTTGTTTTTTAAATTAAGGTTATCTATGGCAACGGCATTCAGTAATTGGTCTAGATCTACACAAGTACACAAGCAAACATGCCCACACCGTGGTGGGGGGTGAGAATAACTGGTGAGTTATTCTCACCATGGGTGAGAATATAGAGGGCCTTTATTATTATCTAAATGGCGTCGATGAGCAGCGCAAAACTTCTACAATTACAAAAAAATTCAAGTTAACAGGCACAGAAACTAATAGACCGAAACGAATACTGAAAGTGTAACGACCGACCGCACACGTTGCTCAAAACATTTGGAGGGAGCATAAAGAAATATAGATGCTTCCAGCAGCTTTTCAGAGCACATCTAGAATTGGATAGAGTTAAACCACTTAAAGAAGCCTTATAAGAAGCTAGTACATGTGTGGTAAATCACAATAATGTGTTCGTTGTTATAACTATTCATGAAAAAACAAACAAAAAAAACACCTTATTAATATTATCTAAAAAAAATACAATTGAGTTGTGGGAAGTGGTCCTTTGTACAGATTGTGATAGTCTTGGGTGGGTGACTGCCAGAACAGTTTGATTCTACATAATATTTTATTTGGTTGATGTTTACCTCCCCTCTCCCTTTCTCTCTAAAAAAACCCCCAGCAAGTACTCCTGTTCCCCACCCTGACCTCAAGCGCCCCCTTCCGGCCGTTCCTGGAGCAAGCGGTGACAGACACACTGGGTGGCGGTCAGTCTGGGGGTCAGCAAGGTCAGTCCGGAAGTCAGTCCGGAGGTCAGACGGGTCAGAGGCCAAGCTGGGGGAGAGGAGCCAGGCTGGAAGTGGCCCTCAGAAACGATTCCCAGCTCGTCAAGTGAGGGCATGGTTGTTGTTGCTATAGTTTTATTGTTGCTGCTGCTGCTGTTGTTGTTGTTGTTGTTGTTGTTGTTGTTGTTGTTGTTGTTGTTGTTGTTGTTGGTGTTGTTGTTGTTATTGTTGTTGTTGCTATAGCTCTTGCGGTAGTTGTTGTTGTTGTTGGTGGTGGTGATGTTGTTGTTGTTGGTGGTGGTGGTGGTTGTGGATGGGGTTTTCTGTCGCCGTCATTGTTGTTGCTTTTTTGTTTTTGCTGTTATTTTTTTCTTTAATTGTTGATGTCTTCAACGTTGTTGTTTCTGCTATTATTATTGTTGTTGTTGTTGTTGTTGTTTTTGATGCTGTTGTTGTTGTTTTTGATGCTGTTGTTGGTTTTCTGCTGCTGTCATTGTTGTTGCTATTTTTTGCGGGTATTTTTCCTATAATTGTTCATATCTTCAACCTGGCTATTTCTGCTATGGTTATTGTTGTTGTGGTTGTTGTTGTTGGTGGTGGTGGTGGCGGTGGTTTTCTGCTGCTGTCATTGTAGTGGTTTTTTTGCTGTTGTTTTTCCTTTAATTGTTTAATTGTCTTCAACCTGTTTTTTTTTCTGCTATTGTTTTCGTTGTTGTTGTTGTTGTTGTTGTTGTTGTTGTTGTTGTTGTTATTGTTGTTGTTGTTGTTGTTGTTGTTGTTGATGATGTTGTTGTTACCGTTCGTCGGTTGTTGTTGTTGTTGCTGCTGTTGCTGTTTTTGTTGTTGTTGCTGTTGAGTAAATCAAGGGTAAACGTTTATGGTCTTCTTGTGCATAACAGAAGCAAAGTCCCCAAGCCTATTAATGCACAAGAAGATGTGTAAGAAAGTGAATTATAAGATGAAATAATAGGTTAATAAAGAAATAATATTGTGGAGATTTTTAGTGTACAATCGCTCTCTCTTTCTCTCTCTCTCTCTCTCTCTCTCTCTCTCTCTCTCTCTCTCTCTCTCTCTCTCTCTCTCTCTCTCTCTCTCTCTTTCTTTATGTATCTAAAATTTTCTTCTCTCTCACTCACCCATTTATGCAATCTCTCCTGCTTTCTCTCATTGTCTTTCACACAAACACCCATACACATACACACATACATACACTTTTCAGGGGCTCTCCTTTGCCCCCTCCCCGGGCTCCTGACTTTTTCTGCAGCCTTTCTACTACTGCTCCTTGGCTCCTTCTTACGGCTGTCTTTCAGCCATACGCCAGATCTTATGGTAGGTAAGATCTAAAACCTAGCCTTCCCGGATAAGGCGAAAGACTTGGAGGTCCCATGTACACATTGGTGGTTCAAAATTGATAAGAGTAGGCTTCGGCCGCCACCCGGGAAAAATTCAAAATTTGCTACCAACTGAAAATGTTAGTGTGTCCAGCGCACTCATATGACCTTATGTAGTTGCAAGTGCTGTATGTAAAACACTTTCACCCCCCCCCCCCAAAGAACCCACTTCTCCCTGCTAGCGTCTCGACCTCGTCAACCACCCCCCCACAAAAAAACAACAACAACCAAAAACAAACAAACAAGAACAAAAGAAACAACAAAAAAAACAAGCCGAAAAAAAGACCCAACCCAAAACCAAACAAAAACTGAAAAAGAAAATATTTCAAACAAAATAATCCACATCTCAACCTCCTTCTGCACCCCACCCTCCTCCACCTCCCAATTCCTGCACGCTGTGGTCAGTACAAAGAACAGCCTGTACAGTAGCATTGACCGGATGTTCCAGCTGGCGGGCGTGTACCGGCGAGAGATGACCGCAGTGTACAAGAAGTATTTCCTACTGGCAGATTCCTTGCTACAGGGTACCGAGGTCGGCCATTTTTGTAGGCGTCTACGGAGACATGACGCACAGGTTTGTGGGTAGGGTGTATTTTTTGTGGTTTGTTTATTTGTGTGAAGAAGAAGAAGAAGAAGAAGAAGAAGGAGAAGAAGAAAAAGAAGAAGTGTAGTTGCTTTTTTTTGTCTTTTGAGCATTTGAGCTACGAAAGCAATGGGGGACAATGATTCTTGATGTCTGATTGCAAATCTTACACTTGGTGATTTAGGGAGTGTAAATAACTTTATGTACACGTCTCTCAGAGGGTGCTGTTGCGGAGCGGTTAGTGCACAGGTCTCCGAAGCGGAATGTCCGGGTTCCGTTCCAGCCTCGGTTCGGGCACGGGTTTTGTTTCGCCCCCTCCTGCCCACCCAGCAGTAATGGGTACCTGACTTCGAGTTGGGGAAGTAAAAGCGGCGTGGAAAGGAACTGGCCACCCTACCACAATATTGATATGCCGAAGGACCAGGAAGTTGTCTCACTAACAAAGCAATCCCCAATATCCGGATCGGATGCCGTAATAAGTTTACACGTCTCTCCTCCCCCTCCCCCTACCCCGTCCACAATCCCCACAACCGTACTCCTCCCCCTCCCCCTGCCCTCCCCCAATCCCCACAACCGTACAGCTGAAAGTAGTGTCTCGTGTGCCGGACAGTGAGCGTCTGGGCGTGTTCCTGGTGGATGTGTCGCCCTTCAAGGAACACCTCCGCATTACGGCACAGAGCGGACTGAACAGGACATACGCACAGATGAATGGGCAGATGGCGGGGAGGATACAGCGGTTGTTGACGGTGAGAGGGGGGAGGGTGGGAGAGAGAGAGAGAGAGAGAGAGAGAGAGAGAGAGAGAGAGAGAGAGAGAGAAGAAGAAGAAGAAGAAGAAGAAGAAGAAAAAGAAAAAGATGAAGAAGAAGCAGAAGAAGTGTCGCCCTTCAAGGAACACCTCCGCATTACGGCCCAGGGCGGACGGAACAGGACACCCGCACAGATGAATGGACAGCTGGCGGGGAGGATACAGCGTTTGTTGACGGTGAGAGGGGGGGGGGCGGTGAGGGAGGGAGGGAGAGAGAGGGGGGAGAAGGAGGGAGGGAGGGAGGGGGGCAGAGAGAGAGAGAGAGAGAGAAAGATCAATATTTAGATCAACAGATAGATCGATAAATGGATAGATAGATAGATAGATAGAACGCGAGAGATAGATAAGAAGAAGAAGAAAAAGAAGAAGAAGGAGAAGAAGAAGAAGAAGAAGAAGAAGAAGAAGAAGAGGAAGAAGAAGAAGAAGAAGAAGAAGACTACTCCGGTGCCACCTCATTATTAAAGCCTACCTGTGCACCAAAACTTGAGGTTCATGCAACAAACTGTTAAATAATCTATACTGACAACGTTACGACCGACCGCACAATTTTTTAAATGCAGTTGGCAGATAAAGACATTATAAAGATGCTTTTAGCTTTTAAGAACATATCTAGGATAGGATAAGGTTAAGCCGTGAAAGGATAGTTATAAAATGCTAGTACCTGGGGTAAGACACAGCATTGTTACAACCAGGCATGCACAAAATCAAATAGATTATAACCAATACTGAGAGTGTAGCAGTCGATCGCAGAAGTTACATAAAACAGTAGGAGAAGAAAAACATTAATATGCTTTCAGCTTTTCAGAAGACATCTAGAACTGGATAAGCCGTGCAAAGATAGCTATAGATTCTACTATAGAATGCTAACACCTGTGATAAAATACAATAATGGGTTGGTTGTTACAACAAGGTGTACAAAAAATGAAACAGGTTATTACCGATACTGTCGACCGCAGAAGTTACACAAAACTCCTGTTCACTTCTCATCACTAGTGGTGGGAAAATCCGGATAATCTATCCGGGTAACCGGATAATTATCAGTGAAACATTATCCGAATTCAGACTCTTGAGCTCTTTTTCCTGACCTGTTTGCCAAAGTGGGTGCACTCGTTTGTCGAAGTGGTTCTAACCCATTTCCCGAAGCGGTTCATATCATACTATTTGTTGAAGAGGTGAACTAACATTAATACCCGGATTTTGCTAAAGCGACTCATTACCCAGCTCTACTCCTCACCTGCGACACCACACCCCCCCCCCCACACCAGAGCCTGGACAACCTCTATGAAGTACTCAAGAGCCGACCCTCGGTCACTGACGCCCTGTTCCGCCTCCTGCGTACCTCGGACAACATACACCCCATCCTGGCGGATCTGGAGCACAACGAGATAGGCCAGATAGCAGCCTTCTATGACGTCATCGACAGGTGAGTATGTATCGGTGTTTTTTTGTGTTTTTTATTCACGTTATTTTATCTACTGCCTATAGCGGGAGATGTCGTCGCGAAACAAAAATAAAAGAATAAAGGGTAAAAAGAGGGGGAGAGATGTTGGAAAACAATAACAAAAGAAAAAAAGTGGAAAAGAGGTGGAGGGGACGGGGTGTTTAGAAGAACGGCGGGACCTGGCAAAATGGTAATATTCCTGGAGCCGGAAATTGTGAACGTTTTAAGGTGTCCCTTACTACTTCCATCTTCTTTTTACGGTGTTTTTCTCTCGCTCTGAAAACAGGTATTCTTGATGTAGGTTTTTAGGAAAGATTGGTCCAATGGCATTCGAGTAAGATTTTCAAACCATTTGATTTTTTGTTTTGTTTTGTTTTGTTTCAGTTAGACCGGTAAGGTACTCACCTTGTCTCTGATGGCTAATTTGCAGACCCTGCCATTTCTTTTCTTGTCTTGTTAACAAAACAAACAAACAAAACAAAAAGCACCAACAAACCAACCAGTAGACAAACAAATGAAAACCAAAAAGAAGCTTTTTTAAAATCCATAAATCTATGTTTGCCACTCATACGAAGCTGTATAATGCATTCCGCTTAAGATTGTCAAGACGCAAAATGTCAATTATGTAGGTCATCGATATTATCTGGGCGTATATTTGAATTGAGGATAAGTATGACTTTTCTCTTCCATACTTCTTCCCTTCTTCAAACGTCCTGTATTTGGTTAGCATGCTGCTCTTTATCATAACTGTATGCTCACCACCTCCAATCCTTTCAACAATCACATCCCTTTTCACCCGAATACCAAGTGCACATTGCCAATCGCATTGAGTCGGGGTCTGACGGCCGTTTTTTTTTCACGAACTAAATTTGATTGCGACCTTCAAAATCAAACGAGACTACTGATTAGGTTGCGGGTGGAATCTGTCGAATTGTGCTAAGATGGTAGCCTTTGCCATTCTAAGGAGAAAAATGAGGCTGCACATGACTCCTTTTTTGTCTGTCCGCAGTTTCGACGTGCCTCACTCGACAAGCGAGCGCCAGGTGTTTGAGAGTTGTCACAACCAGGTGCACAGTGTCCGGAGAGCTGCCCAGGAGGCACAGGCCATACGACGTCACGTGGTGCAACAGCTGGACGTTTGCCTGGCCCGGGACGTCAGGTGGATTGAAGCTCAGGTCAGGGGATACTTACTTACTTTTACTTTTATCCGCCGCTTATACGCTTTTGGGTGTCGCGGGAAGAAAGAGACGTCTCTCTGTCGCCAGACGGAGAGATTGGGTCAGGGGGATGCCATGAGTGGTTAACGTTTCTCTGACTCTGTTTGAAGTAAAGACTTTCATTAACAGAGATTCTCGGGATGGACTTCCTAATTATCTGGCGGGATGAATTAATTGTTCACCTGGCGATGCGCACGCGTGTGTGTGTG